CGAATTTTTAATTAATTAGTCTATATCTGTATTAAAATATTATTATTATTATTATCGAATTGTCATCATTATTTAATTGTTGTGTTTAAAGCTTAGTTTTCAATGCAATAATTTACTATATACATAAATTATTTTATTATTCATATTAGTGCTTCAAAGTATTCGAATTTGCCTAAATTAGGTGAATTGAACACTTCAAATGTTCGAAAATGATCGAGCAACTCGAACTCTTTTAAGTTACTTGAAGATATTCATGCTACCAAATCGGTCCATCAGCAAATCGGTCTTCATATGGGTATCAAACATAGTGCGCTGTAAACGACCCAAACGCTCTAGTACCAGCACATTCGAATATGAAGGTGGTGGAGTTTTCGAACAAGTCAAATTCAAATAACATAATAATATGTAAGATATTATAACAATATTGTTCAAATATTCAATATTAAATACTTTTTAAGTACTTTTATAAACACCTGTCTTTCGATTTTATTAATTGATGATCATATCAATAAAGATAATTAATCTTAACATTATTCATTTTATTTATTTTTAATTTTTATAAATATTGACTTAAGATAATACAAATATATATCAAGGTTAATCTAAATAAACACCTTTTTAAGCTTAATTCAATGCAATTACTTACTATAATATATCTTAAGTTATTATAATTAATTGGAATTAGTTGAATTATCTATTAATAAACTGTAATTTAGTATAATCTAACCATGTAGCTTTTGGCCTAATATATAATCACTCTCCACCGGAACTATAATTCGAATAAAAGAAAAAATTATATTGCAAACTTATCAGCAATGAATTCAGTCAAATGAGACTTGCTCCACTTTTGGCGCATTTTATTCGTAATTAAAAAGATACTCAAATAAAAACAAGATTTAAACTTAAAACTACGAAGAAAAAATTTAATCTTTTTCACTGAAATACCACGCCCTTAGGCGACAATTAATCTCTTTTTAACAAAACTTAGCTTAGCACATAGCACATAGCACATAACATATATGAAAAGGAAAATTAAATCAGGTTATGTCTTTGAGTCCAATTTCAGTTGGCGTAGCACCGAGACCCCATAATTATGAAATTATTATTGAGCGCCAAGCTAAAAGGCCAACAAAAACCGTTTTAATATCAAGCAAAAAAGAAATAAAACAATTCTTATAAAAACGTTTTATATTAAGAATAAATCGAAGAAATTAAGTGAATCTAGTTTGATGTTACTTATTGAGATACATTTATACAAATATAAAAAGTTATCCACTTAGTGGCACTGTTTCAGTGAAATATGTCAAACAGAACTGCTATCCAAGACATCAAGTATTTAGTTCAACGTTTGCCATTTTACAATTTGGATAGTTTAACAGCCGCTGAGCTTGGTATAATGGAGCTTACAAAAGTAATGATCCAAATACTAGAACCTCGACGATCCCTTAGCAACTAGCAACTAACACAAAAAACCACTATGTTCACAATGCAATGGTCTGCAGGTATGAGGTGTAATAGGTCTATACTTTTTCTGAAAGTGACGAAGATGTGATACCAGCCAAGGTGATTCTGATCGTTATACTACAAGAATATCAATGGATGCAAAAGATTGGTAATTTCAACAAGAAGTTGTCACAAAACACACATTACACCCTATTTTAGATTTATTACTCTTTACATACCCCAGGCGTGTAAATTCACATTGTAATGATATGAATTGGATAAGAAGATTATGCGATATATCACCACATCACTTTCTTCTGTGGAATTACGCATAGGATGATGTTTATCTGCCCAATTCTTAAATTCTTGACACTTTGAAAACAATCATAAACAAGTTATGACTAAATTATTGTCAGTTATAAACTAGGAAGGCGTCGTTCCAGTACTGTACGATACGCCTTGAAGTACATATGAATGACATTATATTTCACACCTAATATAAGGTAATATAATAATATAAAAATTTTTTTATATTAAACTTTAATCAAAATCTAAATCATTTTTATTTGCTTTTACTTTTGGAATCACAATATAGACAAACATATTTATTTGTATTTTATAATTCTAGTCCACTTTAAATATATATTTCTATATATGTATTATAATAAAATTGTAGATGTTGAATTACACCATTAATTTTAGTATAAAATGTCTTATAAAGTTCGTACTCACCATCTGAACCAAGATTGTCTTTCAAACCACGAATAATTTTATATCATTATTAAGTTAACCTACATATAATTCGATAATTACATCAGAAGGATATGGTACTGTACGGGACGTCTTAAACGACATGGAATGATGTTTCATTTCACTCCTAATGCAAATTGAAAACAATATTTTGATACAAAACAGAAACCAAAATTTCCATCAGAAATTTGGGTGTATTTGTATTTACTTTGGGAATCACAATATAGGCAATTTTGTCTATTTGTATTTTATAATTCTTATCCACTTTGAATATATATTTCAATATGTGTATTAAAATAAAATAATGATGTTTAATTGAATTTTAATGTAAAGTGTATTAAAACAGACTTCATACTCCCCGTTTGATCCATATTTGTCAGAAACTACTTATCAGTAAAGCCGAGAATCGTTTCGTATCATTATTGAGTCAAGTCATAATGTGAAGATCTTACAGCGCGTCAGTGAAAAAAAATTGATTGAACTTTTTATTTACAATTTGAAATAGAATGTATTAAAGTATCATTAAAAAGCAGAAAAATTTTAAGTATTATTAATTATTCATAAAACAATATGTATTCTGTTTGGTCCGTTACCAGGTTATAAAAGGGGATTAGACAAGAAAAGCTCAAGAAGACTATCATATCTTTTTTAGAGTTTTATAGATAAATAATTCTTGTATTTGATTATTCGTAAACAATTTTTTGAGACTGCAAGTACCAGTAATCGAACTTATGACCTGCCAAATTTGACGCTCAGAGTTAGCGCTTCGTAACCAATTGACCCAAAGCCGTACCTGACTTTTATATTCGCACATTTTTCTGGAGTTTTGTTGATTTGCTGTGAAAGTTTTATTAACAAATTCACGAAATCTTAAATCAGCTGTAGTATAATTAAATTAATTAATTATATTTTTATTATTAATTGTTAAATTGCAATGCTATTATGTTTGTAGAGGTATTATTTATTATATATCATTATTATTATATATCATATGTTGTCGTTGTGATTTGAGTTAGTTCTTTTGCGCACTTTCACTTTTTTGTGACTGGGGGGCTTATCTCTGTCCCACACTAAGGTTTAACTATACTAGAATCATTATCATTTATTTATTTTCTAACTGATGACGAACCGTAGATCAGCATATCTTCCTGTGCGTCCTGAGGTGGACTTGAGGTTTGTTAGGGCGGGGTTGGGCAACGTATCAACATTTGTAAATAATTTTAGGGCTCTGTTCTTGGTATATTTTATCACTGAGTCGATCCTTAGATCTCTAAGCATGTCTATTGTTCTAATATACCAAGGAATCTTAATTAGTCTTCTTAAAGTCAGATTTTATGCTATCATATTGATTCTTGATTCTTCTTCTTCTTGAGTTAGTGCTATTACGCACTTTTACTCTATAATGGCTGGGGGGCTTATCTCTACCCCACACTAGACTTTAACTAGGCTAAAAAAAAATCATATCATTTATTTGTCTTTTAGTTGATGACGGACCTTAAATCAGCATATCTTCCTGAGAGTCCAGAAGTGGACTTGAGGATTATTAGGGCGGGGTTAATTAGCGTATCAACTTTAGTGAATAATTTTAGACCTCTATTAACAAGTCAAAACTGTACATTTTGGTACATTTTACATTAAAACTAGAGAATATAATACCACGAACGTCTTTTATAAGTATAATACAGTATTAGTTAAAACTTATTAGATAAATAATTTATTTTTTATCTAGTAAATATTAACACATGTACCAAATGAACAGTGGCCAATGTTTCTTAAGAAATGCCTTCAGTCATTTTTGTCGTTCTGTAGAGCAGTGGAGTATCTTTTGAACCTGAGTTAGCATCATACAAAGCTGAAACATTTGAAGTAAAGTTGTTGCCGGACGGGGCAGGGCAGGAAGTGAAAAAAATGATTTGTTTCTGTTTTTCTTTATGATTTTATGAATTAAATGAATTTAATATTTATTCATAATTTCTTGAGGTTTCTGAATAGGTGAATAGTGCGTGTG